CCCTTCATCTGTCCAGTAATAAAATAAGAACTGTTGCTCATCTCTTTCAGAGCAAGCAGGACTGTAACAAACCCTCATTTCCTTGCTGAAGTTCTCCAGTGACCTACTCAAGAGAGGGAGAGACTCTATCCAGTGGGGTATGCACAGAGGAGATGGTCTGAAGATTTACCTCTTGCAAGACTGCACTCTTCTCCAGGTGCTGGAATGGGTTGGAATTCCCACCTGCAAAACAGAGAGAGTAAAAGTCTCTCCAAGGAGAATGCCATGGGAAAGCAACTTTTGAACCATGCCCATACTTTAAAAGAAGTCTGATTTTGGGATTATTTTTTTCATGAACACCAAGCAATGAGAGAACCCTCTTTGAAGTAATATTGATTGGATGTCTTCATGGCAGGCAGGGAAGGCAGAGCAGATGGGACATTCTTCAATTTGCCATCCCCTCCAGAAGTAACTGACTATGAGCTGAGGCAGACTGATCAGCTGTAAAATAACTGTGCTCCACTGTATCCCCAAAGACAATTTCCACCCTGGGCTGGGAGCTTGCTGGCAGTTAGAGCATCAATAGGACAGGCCTAGGAACAAAGGCTTAGACAGAAAGAGGTACTGCTTGCCAGACTGGTGAGTCAGGAGTGTTTTATCCCTCCCATATAAACCAAACAAAAATCCACCAGTAAAGTATTTTTGGCTCTATCACTAATTAAGAGAACAAGACAGCAGACCAGATAGGCTGGGCACAAAGTAACTTTCATTGTTCCACTTAACAAAGTAAATTATACTAAATAATTAGAATCCCCCAGCAATTAAGGATGAAATAATCAGAGGGAAAAGCACTATCATTCTGCATGGTCTCTATTAGATTGCCTCCCAAGCATTTGTGAGCTGCAGCTTTTCAAAGGCTGCTAGTTATTGATAGGGGCTTATGTTCAGCCTGGCCCTGGGACAAAATGCAGCCTTTTTCAGGGTTGTTCTAGTGTTTGTTCCAAAGCCTGGTCCACTAGAGAGAACATCTCCTGGGCCAAAATCTGACCTGACCCAAGCTTGTAGCATCCCAGGCTGGTGCCAGGAGCCTTTTCTGGAGTAAGTCTTACACACAAAAGGTAAACACATCTGCACTCTGGCTCCTTCCTGGTTCATAAATGCCTCCTCTGGCTCAGGAGAAGTTTGCAAAGGCAGCAGGTGGCTGAACAAAACACAGACACTTATGTGAGGTTGAAGAGGTAGAACAAAACAAGGGGAAAGAGCAAAAATGTCTCTAGTATGAGTATGAACCAGTTCTAAGATAAATATGCTATTGTGTTCCAAAAAACCTGCCCAGCAACCCAGTATTTCCATGGTCCAGCATGTCTACAATCCTTAAATCAGCCATGAACAGCACTGCATCACCTCTTTATCCTTCACAGCACTAAGGATCCTGAAATACATTCTACATGGGGTCTCAGTCCTCACAGCACCCTGCATCAGTTTTCTTCCATGGAAAGGGAGAAAAATGCAGGGAGGACAGAGGTTGTGTGTTCATAAAGTTCCTAATATTGGGTAACTAACAACAATTTGTTCTGATTTGTAGAGAAACATAATTTTGTGGCCAAATGACATGTCAAAGGGAGTGGGAGCAGGTCATCCAAGGCTAGCAAAACCATACATGGAAAGCAAAGACACAGAAGCCAATTAACTGGATCTGTGCTTCTCCTGCCAGCCCCAGCCACAGGTAATGTCAATACCTTGATGGGTGTGGCAAGGTACAAACGAAGAACAGCCCTCAAAATTAAAGCCAAGAGCAATTCCCCTCCAACAGCTACTTCACTAAATTCTCTGCTTATCAAGATGCCACTAGAGGCCTAGGAAAAGGGAATCAAGGGTAAAGCATTGAATGCCCGTTAAGATAAAAAGAAAGCACAGTCACACAGAATAATCACCAAGATGTAAGCTGAATCAATTTGCTTCAGGACACACTGATTTGTTATGCAGAGCAAGATGTGTAGAAAGCTTCATAGGAAGATGAAAAAGATACCACAAAGCTAAACCATGAAAGGAAACACTGTCCTATGATGCATTGCTTCCACCTGAATTACACACCACATAAAATATCAACCTCTTCCTTACTAATCGGCCTAAAGTTTTGAAGTCAGGCATGAAACTTCGTGCTCTCAGATTTTCCGATCCATTCAAAGTAGCAGTGATTGTGAGGCCAGAAACGATGAACTGGATTCTACCTGGCTATAGCACCTGGTTCCAGAGCTGGGCAACTGTGAACAGCGCTAATGTGCTCAACATTTAGTCTCAGGCTCTGCACCTGCTGATGTGGCAGTAACCTCGGTGTGCTGTGCCGATACAACCAGTTTATCCTCGGCTGCGGCTGCGAGAAGGAGGCAGCAGACTGCTCTAGTGCCCCCATAGTGTTCCCCTAGCGGTTCCATAGTGCTTCCATAGTGCTCCCCACTGGTTCCATGCACACCACAAGCCCCCGCCGCCAAGCTGGCACCGAGCCTCCCCTCCCAGCTCCCTCTGTCCCTCACAGATTCCCCCATTTCCACAGGAAGGGTCTCTTCCCTCACAGCTCTCCCCGCAGCCACGAAGGGCTCGCCCTCACCGATCCCCTCCGTGCCCACAGAGGGGTCTCTCCCCTCACAGCGCCCCGGCCTCCCCTCACCCGACTCCTCGTCCTTCTTGTCGAACTTCTTCAGCATGGTGCTATCGAGCGGCCTGTGACTGCAGCCCTCCCGTCCCGTGGCAGTGGCAGTCCCAGCCTAGGTCCCGGTCCCGGTCCCGATTTCGGTCCCGATTTCGATCCTGATCCTGATCCTGATCCTGATCCTGGTCCCGGTCCCGGCACGGCCCCCGCCCCTTCCTGCCCCCGCCCTTTCCTGCCAGCCTGTCACTGTCACCGCGGCCTCCGCACTGCGCAGGCGCGGCACCGCCCCCAGGACGTGTACAGGGCGTGGTACGGAACCGCGATTGACAGGGAGAGGGCGGGGCCAATCGACAACGGCGCGGTCTGATTGGCGGAGGACGGGGGGGCGGGGCTGGCGGGGGTCCGGGCTGGGGTCAGCGCTGGAGGGACCCAGGGACTGCCGGGGTCACTGTGACTGCAGGGGCACCCCTGGGGACACCGGGACTGCAGGGGAAGCACTGGGGACACTGCTCGGCACACTGGGGCTGGGAGAGCGCAGGGCAGGAGGCACTGGCACTAGGGGAAACACTGGTGATGGGGCTGGCACTGGGATTCCTGAGCTGGGGAGGTGACGGGGCACTAGGGGCAGAGAGGGCTGAAGCATGGGGGCATGCTGGGTCTCGGGGTGGACAGATGAGACACGGGCAGAACGTGGAAATGAGGAGATCCTCGAGGGCTCAGCGTCCCAGGAACAATTGGGAGTGGCAGGGGAGAATCCCGTTCTAGGGAATGGACAGTTGTCACTCAGGCTGCCTGCCCTGGAGTGGCCCACTTGGCAGATCTTCCTATGACTGCTGTCCCCCACTGCTACTGGTACCCTGTCTCTACCCTGGACCCCAAACTCCAGGTTCAGCCCCACAGCATACACCCAGGAGGGGCAGGGGGTATCTCAAGGGGCCAGGCACTGCCTGGGCATCACCTGAACCTCAGGTTGGGCAGGGATGGCAAAATACATTTTACCCACCTTGCCACCTCACCCCAACCCACCATCTGCTGGCACATCCCTTCCTGAAATCCGTCCCTTCCATGGAATGTGGGGTCACCCCAGTTGCTTCTGCCCCTTTCCCAGAGGCAGTGCCCACCCCACAGTGTGAGGGCTCACTCACCCTGCAGCAGGTAGTCCTCAAAGAGCATTGTGTCCCCCAGCAGCTCCAGTGGCCCCCCTGGAGGTGTCTCCTGGCCTCAGCCTGGCTTGCACCACCTGTACTTTGCACGGGGCGGCCGCACTCTGCTCTGCTCTGCTCTTATCTCCCAGCTGGGCTGAAAGCAGCAGCTCCAGGGGCACAACACGATTTCCCTGTTGGCCCAGAGCCGCTGTGGGCTCCCTGGGCCAGGGGCTGGCTCTGCTGTTGGTGCCAGGTCTGACACCCCTCATGTGGAATTTAATGACCTCCCATGCTGGCCCTGGCCAAGCACATGCCCTCACAGCATCTCTGGAGAAAAGGAACACAAAATGGGAGTGTGAAGGAGTGTGTGATAGTGTTCACAAGGGTCCAAGGATGAGGGAAGAGACGAGGATATGACTCTATGCTTCAGAAGGCTTGATTTATTATTTAATGATATATATTATATCGAAACTATACTAAAAGAATAGAAGGATTTCATCAGAAGGCTAGCTAAGAATAGAAAAAAAAGGAATGAAAAACAAAGACTTGTATCTCAGACAGAGAGTCCAAGCCATCTGACTGTGATTGGTCATTAATTAGAAACAACCACATGAGACCAATCACAGATCCACCTGTTGCATTCCACAGCAGCAGATAATCATTGTTTACATTTTGTTCCTGAGGCCTCAGCTTCTCAGGAGAAAAAATCCTAAAGAAAGGATTTTTCATAAAAGATGTCTGTGACAGGGGTGCAGAGCAGGTATAAAGCACAAGCTGTGTTTGGTGTCCCATTTTATTGTGTGTGGTCACTCAAAATTCCAGCTTTGAGGCTTGGCCAAGCTTTGTGGAGGATTTTGTGTGCTTCAGTCACCCAGAGAGAAGAAGCACCCAGGAAAAGCTGCCTGGCTGGATGCAGCCCCTTTGCAGACATCTAGGTGGTGGATGAGCAGGGAGCAAAGCCAAGCACAGAAATCCCTGTAGTGCCTGGGGCTGGGACCAGCTGTGCTCAAGCACTGGCCAAGGTAAACCCAGCTGTGTCTTCTCCAGTGGTGCTGAGGTGAGAGTGGTTAAACCAAATCCTGCCATGGCTGCTGCCTGTGCCACGAGCACTGGGGCCAGGGTGATGAGGTGCCATGTCCAGTTCCCTGCAGAAACGCTGATGCTGCTCCACACCTCCCTGTGCCAGCCCTGCTGTCCCCTCCAGCCCTGCTGGATCCCAGCACAGTTCATCTCCTGCGCCCCAGCCGGGCCATCAGCTCAGCATTGGCAGCTGCCTTGGCCTGCAGCTCCTTCTCTCGGTCCAGGTCGAGCAGGATTTTCAGTAAGTGAGTGTGGACATCGAGTGACAGGGACACCTTCCTCCTCTTTTTGCTTGGAGCTGCTCTCTCCGTGGCTGGGCTCATCAGCCAGGGCAGGGCTTGTCTTTCTGATCCCTCCAGCAGTGGCAGGCTGGCTTCATCTGGATGAGACCCTGCCCCAGAGCCACCGTCAGCCCTCCTCATGTTGGAGAGAGCTGGCAGCATCTTGTTGTGGCTGGTGCTTTCCTGCCTCAGCAGCTTCCCTCCATCCACACCTCGGGGGGCTGGTGAGAGCCACTCATGGCTGGGCCCCTCCCAGGCTCCTGCTGGCGGCCCGAGGAGCAGCAGGAAGGAGAGCAGCATCCTGCCTCGCAGCGTGCCCGGGGGTGCCTGCAGGGAGCACATGGCTTGGCTCTGAACATCACTCCCATCACCCTGGCACCGCCCCACAGCCCACCAGGCAGGTCACATCCCCACCAGGGTGTCACCCACAGAACCCCTCCACTCCCTGCAGGTGCACCTGGTGGGGCTTCACCCTCCTTTCAGGAGCCTTTCATTATTCCACCCTGATTTTAACCCTCCTGAACAGGGTGGGGAGTTTTGGGGAGGCTGAAGGGGGCATGGGAAGCAAATCCCCTGGGTGTCCTTGTCCTTTCACACAGCCCCTGGCCAGATGCTGTGCCCTCAATTTCACACCCTTCAGCCCTTTGTCACCCAGGGAAGGAGACAACCCTGTCCTGCCAGGGTGCTGTGGCTGCTCCCCAGCCCATTCCTGCCCTTTGGCCAGGGAAATCCCTGGGGTTTCAGGGCTGGGCGGGCAGCGGAGCTTTCTTCCTGCCACGCCTTCCCTGGCAGGTGCCATTCCCCACTGTGTTGCTGGGCTCTTTGGGGCAACAGCCACCCACCAAGGGGGGACACGAGCCACTTGGACTAAAATACACAGGATATTGGGGCAGGAGACTGGCCACAGGTCCTGAGCTGTGTCAAGCCTCAGCGACTTTCTCCAGCCCATCCCTCACCTTGGTCACAGGGATGGCCCCAGGGATTGCAGGATGCTGTGCTATGGGGTGGGGATCAGGGTGCTGGGATGTGGGGTGGGGGTCAGAGCAGGTGCAGGGACACTGCTGCACAAATCCTGCTATATAGCTGCCTCTCCCCAAAATCAGTCACCCAGCAGAGCATCTCTGGGGTGAAACCCTCTGGAAAGTACCAGAGTAGGCAGCCAGAGGTGGTTAACCCGCTGCAAAGTGAGGAATGAAAAGTATCTAACCCCCTGCAACCTATTTCCCAGCTAAAAGCCCCTGAAAAACACCACTGAGGGCACAGCCTCACCATTTGCAGCAGGTCCTCGTCTCCTCGACGTTCAGCAGTGCTCCCAGGCTGCAGGGACCACGGGCTGGGGCTTTGCTCTGCTCCCTGCCAAGCCCTGGCTCTTATCCTGTCCCAGCTCCACCTCCGACCCGCAGAGGGGGTGACGGTGACAGGGGGAAGGTGGGGGGGCACTGTGTGGAAATCTTTTTAATACATTTTGCCTAATGGCAGATGAAATCATCCCAGGATGTGGGTGGGTGTTGCCCCCTTGCAGCTCCCCCAGCTGCGTTCGGAGGGGATTCCGGGAACCTGGGACAGCTCACTTGTAATTGTTTCATGTTTGACTTGCAAGATGTTTTTTCTCCATCTAATTAGGCCTCCCTGCTCCTGTCAGACTTGGTGATCACTTCAGGGAGGGAGAGAACATGCACATTGCTGGGATCATGGGCATTGTGCCTCACAAGGACAGCTCCTGGTGCCAGTTTGGCACTGTGTCCTGACAGGCTTCCTGGCTACATGGAGGGCATGTCCAGAGACATGTCACCTCCCTGCTGTGCCAAACCCAGGCACTGCTTTGGCCACTGGTTTGCAGGACACCAGTGGCTTGCAGCTCACCTTAATGCATTCCAGCTGGGATATCACTGGTTTGCAGCTCACCTTAATGCATTCCAGCTGGGACACCAGTGGTTTGCAGCTCACCTTAATGCATTCCAGATGGGACACCAGTGGTTTGCAGGCACCTGCACCAGTCCAGCCTGGCCCAGCTGCCCAAGGTGGGTGGCAGCCTGTAGGCATTGCTGTCTGCTGAGCTCCATATACAAGGGTTTTGCTCCAAAATTCCCCCCTTAGGGAGTGTGGGAGCATCCCAAGGCTCTTAGGCTGGGTGGGCACCACATGGGGTGAGTTGTGGGTGCTCAGCCCCGCAGCCAAGGGCAGGAGTCAGGGTGCCCAGGGTTCAGAGCACTGGGCCTCTGCCCACCCCTGTGGTCTGAACCCATGGGTGACCCAGCCTATGCCACCCTCCCCAGGACAGCAGGGAACAGAAATAATGCCAGCTTTGTTCCTCCTCCCAGGGACAGCCAGGAACTTACACCCAGTAGCCAAAATTAGCTGGCAGCACTGATTCACACAGCACATCATGCAGCACCACAGAGCCACGTGCTGACACGTCAGGGCCTGCACAGGGGGTCATGGCCTGGCTTGCATCAGCTGGGCACGTGCTGGGCACAGGGATGGGACACTGGGCTCCCTGGAAGGGGTGAGGAATCCCAGCCAGCACTGCCAGCCAGTGCAGTGGGCAGCTGGAAAGGGCAGCCCAGCTGGCAGGGGCAGGGGGCATGCCTGAGTCAAGAGCTGTCCCCAAACTCCACAGGCATCTCCAGCAATGAGCCAAGAATGTGACATCTCCCTGGAAGCACAGCTTTAATACACATCCCCCTGCATTGGTACACATAGACATTTGCTGTATATAATATACACAGAGAACAGCAGGACGTGTGGGGGCCACACAGCCCACCCAGCAGCCCTGGGGCTCTGGGGCAGTGAAGGGCACGTCCCTACCCAGCCCTGGGGATGGGGGGAAGCAGGGGCTGCGACATCACTTTCACAAAGCCTTTGAGAGTAAGTGTGGGCGAGCAGGAACCGCTTCTAACATAGCACCATCCTCAGGGTTTCCCTGACAGGCCTGGGGATGCAGGCAAGATCCCCCAGATTAAGGCCAGATGTGCTGCTGGCAGATGTGTGAGCTGGAGGGCAGCACATGGCAAGAGCCTCCAGTCTCCCCACAGCTCATTGCCAAACCATTGCAGCCACAAAAGGGGAACTGGGCCCTAGTTGAGGTTAAGGTGAAATTTATTCAGATGGAGCTCATTGCAGGGTGAGGGATGCTGTGCAGAGAGGCACTGCCTGGCACAAGGATGTGGGCAGTTCTCCCAGCAGAGACAGGGAACAGAGAGGGAGTTTGGGGGTCTGTGGGGGGCAGGAAAGGGTACAAGGACATTATGGGAGGGGAGGGAGCCCAACTATGCCAAGTCCTACCTCTGCTTCCAGAGAGAGGGAACAGGACTAAGAACCCTTCTGTTGGCAACAAATAATTTAAAAATCAAACTGAGAACAGCCCAGTGGGAAAGGGGGTTCAGAGCCTTGCTGGGAGGCAATTTCCCATTTGACATAAATTTCACCTTAATGACAATAAACTGATATGAAATGAAAAACCCATGAGCAGCATAAAGACAGGTTAGAAATAGCACCAGGTTCCTGCTGGGGATGGTGGGCACATGGCTGCTGCCCCCATGGGCAGCCCAGCCCCGGCCAGGGCAGCATCTGGGCAGCTCCAGGCAGCCCTGCCTGCCCAGACACCACCTGCACCTACACCTTTGGCTGCCCTCCTTCCTTGCTGCCAGCACTGCCACGGGAATCTGTGGAGAGAAGCGAGGCGCTGTCAGAGCTGGGCTGGGGAGCAGCACCGTCCCCAGCTCTGCATGGCTGAGCCCACGGCACAGGGTGGAGGTGCTGCTGTGCCCAGCCCTGCCCACCTGCCCCGGGGTGCTGTCCACAGTGCAGCTCACACTCCTCCTTGCTCTGGAAGCGGTTGGGGTTGCCCTGGCAGCCGCTGTAGACGAAGGGCCGGCACTCGGCGGCTCTTTGGTTGTAGTACCAGCGTAGGGTGTAGTGCTGGCAGTGCCCCTCGTCCAGAGGCAGCCTGCAGGGCTCAGCTGTGGGCAAACGCTGCTGTGAGGGAACCCACCAGGCACAGGAGGGAAACCCCAGAAGGGAAAGGCTGAGCATGGGAAGGGTTTGGTTGGAGGAGACTCTCTGTGCTCTGCCCAAGTGCTGGAATTGAGGGCAGGAGACTCCACTCTGTCTCCTGGGACAGCTCCCAGCAAAGAGCTGGGGACATGATGGCCACAGCACCCCTTGAAAGGATTACAGAGAGACTCTCCAAAGGCTGCTGCCACTGGGGCTTCCCTGATCTGTCCTTTGGGATCTGTCCTGTGGCTCATGAGCAGAACACAGGAATCCTACCAGGGCAGCAGGTGCCACCAGCCCAGCACACCACCCATCACTGCTGGTGATGGCTTCAGTGAGAGGGATAGAGCACAAGGTCTGCACAGTGTGGGCAGCACAGTGATAGAGAAGGTGCAACCCCCCCAAGTACCAGCAAGAGGGCAGGAAATCCCAAATCCCCCAGACAGATGGCACAGGGACCCACTGCCCAGCTGATGTGAAGACACAACCCCAGCAAAACCCAGGGCAGCTCCATGGTTTCCCCAGCAGCTTAGCTCTGAGTGCCAGGTGAGTGCAGGGAAGCTCACCATCCCCTGTGGGCTGCTCCAAGCTGTCCATCTCCGAGATCTCATCGTAGTCATCCTCCTCTCCATCCATGTCATACGCGAGGTCGTCGTCGTCGAGCATGGTCTGCCTGTCCTGCCCTGGGAGACAGCACCACACGTGAGCAGTCCTCACCACACACATGGAGGGCAGGAAAAGGGGGACAAGGACTGAAAGCACAGGGATAACACACCCTCATCTTCCTCAGCGTGCGAGAGCTTGAGCACAGGGACTATGTGAGCGCTGCCAGCAAGGAACGGCTGAGTGGAGAAGGACCCTGTCAAGGGGACATGGGCATCAGGGAAGAGGCAAAGGAGTCTGGGCTGCTTTCCCCTTATTTCCCAAGGGAAAACCACCCCTCTCAGCTATGGAGCAGTGCAGCACTGCCCAACCCTGTTGCAGCCTAACAGGGTACATGGACAGGGATGATGGACCTGGAGATACCCCCTCCTCTGTCTGCACCACAGACCAGGGCTGCCATGGGCGCTTCTGGAGGAGGCACAGGCAGGGGAGGCCCAGAGAGACAGCACCCACTCAGAGCCCAGCAGGACAGGGACAGGGGAGGGCACAGGGAGGCACACATGCCCATGTCACCAGATCTCACAGATCCTCCAGACTCTCCATCACCTGTTTGGTCCTGCTCGTTCTCCTGACGGACGATTCTTCCTGCTCCCTGGGCAGAGTGGAAGCTGCTCCTGGCCTGAGCCCCCCAGCCTCCTTGGAGAGAAAGCACCCACCTCATCCCAGCCCACCCCTTGCTCCATCCCTCCAATCCCACTCCTCCAGCCTACCCTTCCCTCCAGCATTGCTGACCCCCTGCAAGACCCCTGGCCCAGTTCTGACACCCAAGAATAGATGGGGTACAGTTCCTGGGATCCCCTCAGTTGGGCACACCCTGGCAGCACCCAGACCCCACTGGCACCACCCTGAGCCAGCTGTCCCTGGGGATCCCTGTGCCATCATTTCTGCCACACACCATCCCTTCTCCCTGTGCAGGGTCCTGCACTGATGCTGACCCTGACTGAAGGGCCATGGAGGGTGCCAGCCACCTCCAGCTCCCCAAAACCAGTGGCACACCTGGGTGCCAGGGCTCTCTTTGTGCCACACGTGTGGGGCAGGGGGATAGGAAGGAAGAGCTGCAACCTGAGTGCTCACGTGAGTCCTGGTGCCGTGGAAAGTGGCCACCACAGGCTGTGGGAGAGACAGGGTGGGGTTAGGGGCAGTGGGTCCAGAGAGGAGAGCAGGTAAGTGTGTACCCCGAGCCCCAGAGCAGCAGAGGGGATGCTCACCACAGTGCTGGCTCATCTCCTGCCTGACAAAGGCACGGATCTCCTCCTCCTGCCGGGCACACGAAGGGCAAGGGTAGCAATGGGGGATGGTGCAATTCAAGAGGAGGAAAAGCCCTTTCCCCAGGGTCTAGCAGAGCCCAGAGGTGAGGGCAGCCCCTACCTCAGTGGCATGGATCCAGCACCCCTTCCCACCCCAGTGACCTGAGTGCCACGAGCCTGTGCTGGCTCCCTTCTGGCTCCTTACCGTCATGCCTGGCTCCCCCTTCTCCCCACGGAGCCCGTGGGTGCCAGGACTGCCCTGGGGACAGCAGAAAGGAGGTGGGAAGCTGGCCCTGGCTGGAGCCCATCCAGGCAGGGCCAGGCACCCAGACACTTACCTGCTCTCCTCTCTCACCAGGGATGCCAGGCATGCCACGTGCACCGGGCACTGACTGTCCAGGGGGGCCTCTCTCCCCCTGCAAAGGACACGTGCTCAGCATCTGGCTGCTGGAGTCTCTCTGCTCTCCCCAGCACCATGGAGGTGCTGCTTTCCCCAGGCCTGCCCCCCAGGGATGCCAGTGCAGGTGGGGATGGGGACAGGTCCAGCCCAACTCAAGGACAAGCAGGGTTGCAGACTCCCCCCCTCAGACTCCATCCCCTGGGCAGGGGGACACAAGGGAGGACACAAACCAGCAAGCTGGCGGGGCAGGACAGAGCTGGGACATGACTCCAGATGCCACCCACCCCTCACCCACGAGGGGGACTGGGCCCTCCCATCCTCACAGCCCCAGAGGGAGCAGTCACCTGAGGTGAGGCCTTACCTTCTGGCCCTGCATGCCTTCGGGACCTCGTGGGCCAACGCTCCCTGAGGGCCCAGGGGGGCCAGGAGCACCATCACTGCCCCGGGGACCAGGGCCACCCATAACACCCGGGGCACCCTGGAGGAGAGGAGAGCAGAGGGTGAGGCCAGGGGTGTCAGCCCCCAGCTTCAGAGCAGATGCCATGGACATCCTCCGACCCCACAGCTGGGCATCCCCAAAAAAACAGCACTGGTGCCTCCTTATAAAGAGCAGGGAATTGTTGTCAGTCCTTGCTTAGTGACATAACTTAGAGCAGCACTGAATGGCTCTTCTGGGAGCACCAGGCTCTGATGTGCTTCCAACCAAGGCTGTATCCTGGTACAAGCAATGTGGTGCAATGCATCCCATCCCTTTGCAGCCTGCTCACCCGGTCTCCTTTCTCCCCCTGGTCTCCTTTGGCTCCCTGCTGCCCGTCAAATCCCCGGTCACCCTGCAAAGAGGAAGGGACAGGCAGCAGGGGACACACAGCAGGGGCAGGCAGTGAGGGGATGAAGTGCCAGCACAGCTTTTCCCAGCACTGCTCTAACCTACCTTGGGTCCCATGAGCCCTTCCTTTCCAGGAATGCCTGGTGGTCCTGAGAGGCCCAGCTCTCCCTGGGGGACAATGCAGGTGTCCATCAGCCACCAGCCATGCTTTCCTGTCCCACCCTGCTGTCACTGAGGTGCTTACCGGCTCGCCTTTCCTCCCTGACAGCCCCGAGCGCCCCGGGATCCCTGGCTCTCCCTACAGCAGGCAGGAGAGAGGCAGGGCAGTCAGTTCTTCCCCCCTCAGTGCTCACCCCAGAGCCACAGGCCGAGGAGGGACCCCCTGAGCCTGTCACAGGGTCAAGGTCTGGCCTCAGCCATCTCCCCACTCTCTGGCTGATGGAGGGGCTCCAAAGGGCCACAGCACCCAGGGAACATTCAGGCTCCTGCAGCACCTTGCAGGCACCCACTCACCTTGTCACCCTTGTCCCCATTGAGGCCACAGGCACCTTTCATGCCCCGCTCACCCTGCAAGGATGGGAAGTCAGAGCCATGCCAAGCCAGCACTGGAGAGTGCTGGCAGCCAGAGAAACCAACTCACCTTGAGGCCACGCATGCCCAGGGGTCCCATGTCCCCCTTGTCTCCCCGGGCCCCGGGGATGCCATCACGGCCAGGCTGGCCCTGTGGGAGAGCACACAGCGTGACCAGGGTCTGCTCCTGCCCTGCACTGGGGTGGCAGAGGCACAGGCACAGCTCCTCACCGGCTCGCCAGGCTCTCCTGGTGCTCCAACCTCTCCCTGGGGAAGGCAAAGGCACCAGTCAGGGCAGGTGAGGGGATGGTGCCACCAGCAAACCCAGCAGAGGGGCTGCCCAGCTTCATACCTTCTGCCCACTGGGGCCACGTGCCCCAGGGAAGCCCATGGAGCCCTTCTCTCCTTGTTCACCCCTCGTGCCCTGCAACAGAAACCCAGATCAGCACAGGCCAGGAGGGAGAGCTCCAGCCACAGCCACTGCATGGCCACAGCACAGCCACAGTCACCTCCCCTTGCACCATGTCCCTGCACCACCAGCACATAGGGCACAGGGATGCTGTCATGCCCTGCTTCCTCTGTCCCTTGCCCTGTCAATAGCCCTCCATGATCCCCAACCCAGCAGCTCCCAGCCCTGCACAAGTCCCCCCAGCCCTGTACCTTCTCTCCAAGCATGCCTTGCTGCCCCTTGTCCCCCTTGTCCCCTTCTGTGCCCTTCAGGCCACGCTCTCCCTGCAAAGGAGGAAACACAGGGAGGGGTCAGGGGATGAGGAGAAGCTCAGACACACATCAGGGTGGGGAGGACAGACTCCTATGGGGGCAGGACCATGGGGTCTGTAGGGTGGCTGGAGGTGGGGACAATACACTCTGCAAGGGAGGGTCCCCCAGCAGGGAAAAGCTCCTCCAGCTCTTCCCAGAGGGACAGGAAGGATGGGGGAGGGAGGACAGGGACAGCTCTTACCGGCTCCCCCTTGCTGCCCCGTGCTCCTGGCGGCCCCTCCACCACCACAGTATCACCCTGTACACCCAAAGCAGAGCAGGGGGTGAGAAGGGGGCCAGGGCTGCTGGCTGCCTCCCCACTGCCCCCTCCCCAAGGACTCACCTTGTCTCCTTTGGGTCCTGGGGCCCCAAGGTCTCCCTGTGAGGATGAGGGGAGATGCTCCAAAGATGCACAGCAGGGAGCAGGCAGCACCTCCCTGGGCACCCCAGTACCTGGAGGTGCATCACATAGAGTCCCTTACCTTGTCCCCACGCTCCCCACGGTTCCCAGGCAAGCCCTGTGGGGGACAAGAGAGGGGTGCTCAGGAAGGGATCACCCAGACCAGGGTGCAGCTGAGGAAGGGGGGTACCTACAGCTGGCCCACGATCCCCTTCAGGCCCTGGGCGTCCATCCTCACCCTGCAAGGAGGAAGGGATATGAGAAGGGTGTTGGGGGCACCCCAGCATCACCCCAGGCCAGGGACAGCTGCAGCTCTGGCTCAGAGACCTGTCAGGCACCGTGAGCCTTCCTGTTCCTGGCTGTGGGGACATGGGGGACTGTGGCAGTACCTACCCGTGGTCCTGGGTCACCACGTTCACCTCTGGCTCCTGGCAGCCCGGCCCCTGGAGCTCCCTGCCAGAGGAAGGCAAGAACTCATCCCCATCCTCACTGCCCACAGCTCCTCCCAGCCCTGCCAGGGACACCCCACAGTCCCCACCAGCTCTCTGGGTGCCATGTGCCACCATCCAGAGTGGGCTCAGCACCCTCAGGGGTGAGCTGGCTGCAGGGACACTCCACAGGGGAAGCAGCCTCCCACCTCTCATGCTGTAGGGCTGCCCCTGGTCCTACCTTGTCCCCCTTCAGGCCAGGGGCCCCTTGTATGCCCTAAAAGAAAGGAGAAAGGTGAGCAAGTCACGGGAGGAAAGCAATGCCAGATACCCTGTGAAACATCCCTGAGAGTCCCACCACAGCACAGCACTGCACACTCCAGCAGCAGCCTGCCCCAGGGCCCAGGGAGGTGCCAGCTGGTCCCTGCCAGCCTGTCTGAGCCAGCAGGGCAGAGTCCACAGCCCCAGGAATGCTGTGCCACCATACTCACAGCTGGCCCTGGGGGCCCCACAGGTCCTGGTGGTCCAGCAGTGCCATCCCTGCCTGGAAAGCCGATCAGACCCTGCAGGGAGGAAGCAGGGAATGGGCAGTGCCTGGGGCTGGGAGGGAGTGGGGCTTGCAGGGATCTCAGTGCCACTGCACAAGGGTCCAGGGTCACCAGGACCAGTGGTGCTGTGTTCTAGTTGTAGTCTTTACCCTCTCTCCTGGGGGACCTGGAGGGCCAGGCTGTCCATTGTCCCCTCTCAGGCCTGGCTGTCCTGGCATCCCAGCAGGGCCTGCCAAGCCTGGGGGTCCTGGCAATCCTGGCAAGCCGGTGTCACCCTGAGGTGGGGAAGTAAAAGATGAAGCTCCTCAGGAGTGTGCTTTTCCTTCAGCAGCCAAGCTAGAGCATTACTGGGGCACAAGGGACATGATCAGAGCCAGGGTGACAGGGGGACAGGGGTTACCTTCAAACCTGGAGGCCCGTCCTGTCCTGGTGGTCCCCGTGCACCGACACCCACTGATCCCTGCAAGGTGGCACAGAGCATGTGGCACATCACCAGGCTGGGGGCACAGGAGTGCCAGGGCCATCGTGCCACCCAGAGCATCCCCCAGGGACACATACCTTCTCCCCTTTGGCTCCAGAGGACCCCTTGGCTCCCTGTGAAGACACCAAGCCCCCAGGAGCACCTGGGCAGTAGGTGGCAGGGGCACAGATCCCAGCCCCCACCAGCATCCACTGCCCCCAATATCCACCCACCACCCCAATATGCCTTCTACTCACGTCTTCCCCAGGATCTCCTGGCTCTCCAAACTTTCCTGGCTCCCCCTGGCAGGGAAAAAGAAGGAAAAAGCAGATGTGTGGGATTATGAACAGGAGGAGCAGCTGTGGTGGTGTTCACAGGGGTCCCAGGACAAGGGAAGAGAGGAGGATCTGGCTCCATGTTTCAGAAGGCTGATTTATTATTTTATGATATATATATTATTTTAAAACTATACTATACTAAAAGAATAGAAGAAAGGATTTCATCAGAAGGCTAGCTAAGAATAGAAAAGGAATGATAACAAAAGCTTCTGACTCTCAGGGAGTCCAAGCCAGCTGACTGTGATTGGCCATTAATTAGAAACAACCACCATGGACCAGTCACAGATGCACCTGTTGCATTCCACAGCAGCAGATAACCATTGTTTGCATTTTGTTCCTGAGGCCTCTCAGCTTCTCAGGAGAAAAAATCCTGAGGAAAGGATTTCTCCTAAAACATGTCTGTGACAAGCAGCTGCAGCTGGATCCCAACATGGTGGCCAAGCAGCCAGGGAGCTGAGGACCACACAACCCCTCCCCACTGACCCCCAGGGCAGCGCTCACCTTGTCACCCTTGGGGCCTGGCAAGCCTCGGTCACCCTTGGAGCCCTGTCAGGGACAGCAGTGTCAGGGGACAGGGCACACACAGGGCTGGCTGGCCCCTCACAAGGCCAGGGTGGTGGATAGGTTATGGTAGGGAAGGGTCAGTGAGGGAGATGAGGGCAGTGTCAGGGTGTGACTCACAGGCTCTCCCAGCAGCACACCCTCCAGCAGCGCCGGCTCTCCCTGCAGGGCACACACGGGTGCTCAGCTGTGCCCACTGCCCTTGCCAGGGCCCAGCAGACCCCTGCCCCGCCCAGCCCTCCCAGCCTGGCTCCTTACCTTCTCTCCCTTGGCTCCAGGGGGGCCGGTGATGGCCTGGGGCAGAGGACAGTGGGCAGGTGAGCAGGGCTGCACGGGGATGCTCCCCTCATCCTAGCCAAGGCAGCTCTGCACTCACCTGCCCTGGGGCTCCAGCATCCCCTGGCTCTCCCTTGGGACCAGCAGGCCCTGAGGGTCCTGGTAAGCCCTGGCACAAGTGGCACAGCCCTCAGCCTTGGCTGCAGAAAGCCAGGCTGAGCTGAGTGGGCATGGGGCAGGGTGAGCACGTCCGTACCATCTTCCCAGGCACTCCTGCCTCGCCGTCCTTCCCTGGCACACCATCCCTGCCCGGCACTCCTGGCTTCCCACTCTCCCCCTGCAGGCAGTGACAGTGGGGCTGGGCTGTGCAGGCAGCCCCAGGCACCCTCACTGATGGCAGCCAGATGTGGGGGTCACACACTCACCACTTGTCCCGGCAGCCCAGGGACACCCGGCGGGCCCTGCAATGGAGATGTGAGATCAAGCAGCATCCCAGGCCCCAGGAGCAGCCAAGGGGTGGTTTGGGGTGCTGCAAATACCTACCCCTGGGCCAGGGGGGCCAAGGGGTCCTGGCAGGCCCATGTTGCCCTGGGGGCCAGGCAAGCCCTGCAATGGAAACAGACACATCAGAGAGGGGATGGCACAGCCAGGACCTTGGCTGCCCCCGTGGGAAGATGTGTTGGGGTGGGACTGGCTGATTTAGGGGAGGCTGGATGGTTTTGGGCAGCCAGGTGGGTACAGGCAGGGAGGGTATGAGTACTCACACGGATGCTGGAGCCAGGTTCCCCTGGATCACCCTGGGAAGAACACACTGCATCAGCCTGACCACCCCAACCACCCAGCTACTTGGTCACAGGCACATCTTCATAGCTGGATCCAGGAGGGGGTCCAGCCAAATGTCCCTCCCCCAGCCCAAAACGTCCTGAAATGTGGTCCTCCCTCCTGTCCCCAAATCTGGCAAGGCAGCCTTTCCCTCTGCCAGGCTGGAGTGGCAATGCTGATGCAGATGCCAGTGCTGCTGCCTTACCTTGGCACCAGCGGGGCCCTGGGTCCCTGGGGGGCCAGTGCTGCCCTGCAGGGGACAAGGGGACATTATTGGGGTGGTGCTTGCTGGTGGCACAGAACAGGCAGGGGGCAGCAGGACCACTCAGTCCCAGCAGTGCCACCCCACCACTGCTCCCTGGGGAATGCCCACCCTGGCCGACACCACCCTTGCATGACAGTCCCCTGCACAGGGTGGGGCAAGGTGGCTCCTTACCGGAGGTCCTGGGGGTCCTGGGTCTCCCTGATTGCCCTGAAGGGAGGAAGAAATGGGATCACTGCAGAAGTGGGTTTTCCCCAGTGGGAGCAGAGGGTGTCCCCAGGGAGAGCAGACCCAGACAGTGCCAGCAGCTCTTGTAAGCACCAAGTAAGACAAGCCTGGACAGGTCCTGCTAAGATGCAGGGGGCCAAGGACCCAGCCCAGCAGCAAGGTGACCCCCATGGTTTCACCAAGCATTCACTGCCAGGAGCCCCCAGCTGTGTGCTGAGGTGGTGGGACACAGGGACATGGGAGACACACAGACACCTACCGGGCGTCCCAGCACGCCAGGAAAGCCTGGCACGCCCTGCAAAGAACCACATCACAGTCAGTGGACAAACAGAAACCCACACTTCCACACAGCCCTGCCTGCCCCCCCAGGGATGCTCCCCATTCCCAGTGTGTGGTACCCAGCCAGGGCACTTAGGAGGGGCAGGAATAGGAAGATGCCCCCAAATCCCAGGCCCTGCATGGGCAGAAGGAGGTGAATGAGCCATAAACGCTCCTGTTGATGCTGGTGGTGGCTGGTGTGAGACCACAGGAGCTCCCCCAGTCCCAGCCTGCATCTCTCCACCATGTCCCCACTCACCGGCTTCCCCTCAGGGCCTGCCAGCCCTCTCTCACCCGGGAGGCCCTGGAGCAAAGGATGGAGACAGGGGTGGGGTCAGTGCCAGGCAGGTCCGGGGGCAGTGCCAGGCAGGGGAGCAGTGTGGCACTCACCGGGCTGCCGTCCCTGCCCTTCTCGCCAGGCTCCCCTCGGTCACCCCTCAAGCCACCTTCACCCTGCAGTGGGGACAGGCACGGGGTCACAAGATAAGCAGGGACCTTCCCATGACCTCCCAGGGCCTGCTGAGGGCTGTGCCCAGCAGTGCCCTCACCCAGGGCTTTGCTCCCTTTTGACATGGGAGACTTATAACCTCAGACCTTGTCTCCTTTGGGTCCCCGCTCGCCCTCGGCTCCGGGCTCACCCTGTGAGGGGAAGAAGACAGATGCCATCAGCCCTTGCTGACCACCATCCTCAGCCCCAGCCCATGATGTTGGCCCAGCTCAGTTGTCTCAGCTGCCTTCTCCTTTCAGACCAGCCACACACCTTGGCTCCTTTGGGTCCGATGGGGCCGCGTTCCCCTGGGAGGCCCATCAGGCTGCCCTCCACCACGTCCACCTGTGGGCAGGGCACAGTCAGGGCCAGCACCCAGGGCACCTCAGGAAGGATCCCTCAGGGGCAAAGCCCTCCCCAAGCCCCTGAGCCAAGGCACTGGATGTGGCCATCCATCCCCAGAGGAGCAGGCTGGCACCTCGACAATGCTCCCCAGCAGCAGCCATCACCTACCTTGGGCCCTGGGGGCCCTGGGGGTCCAGGCAAGCCATCCCTTCCCTGAAAGGGCAGAGAAAGAGCTTGAGTGTCAAAGGGCACAGGAGAGCAGAGCCTTCCTGGTATGGCCAGGAGGGTCTGGAAATGGGCATCTGCCTGCCCCACAGAGAGCCCTGCATCCCCTCAAGAGGGGCACACCACCGGAGGGGATGGAGGGCACCATGTCCCTGTCCCAGCTCACCTGCTCCCCTCGGTCGCCCTTCTCGCCGCGGTCGCCCTGTGGAAACACCGTGGTGGCTGTCACGGGGCTGTCCCCAAGCCCCCAGAGCAGGTCCCCCAGACCTCACCTCGCACCTGCACACACACTCACCTTCTCGCCGGACCTCCCGGATTCCCCCAGCTCCCCAGCCCGGCCCGGCACCCCAGGAATGCCTGGCTTGCCAGGCTCCCCTGGCTGCCCAGGCGGGCCCTCGGGACCCCGCTCACCCACGGCCCGGCCCATGGGGCCCTGGGGGCCGGGGGTACCTGGGTCTCCCTTGTCACCTTTGGGTCCTCGCTCGCCAGGGAAGCCTAAGGAGCCCTGCAAGACAAAAGCTGCGCTGCCAGAGCCAGCCCTGAGGCAGGGCTGAGGCGGCTGCATGAACCCCCAGCCAGCCCAGAAAGCAGGAGTGGGGCAGAGTGCTGGGGCCTGGCATCGAGCCTGGCTCCACTCACCTCTCGGCCCGGGGGCCCCCTTTCTCCTGGATCCCCCCGACTGCCCTTCTGGCCCCGCAGCCGCTCGACCGCCGGCGGAAACGAGTCTGAGCTCCCATCATAGGCACCCGTGAGCTCCTTCAGGGATGAAACCTGGGAGGGAAGAAGACAGGTGCCATCAGCCCTTGCTGACCACCATCCTCAGCCCCAGCCCACGATGCTGCCCCAGGAACATGGGGAAGGAGGAGAGAGCGTAAAGTGGAACCAGCTGCAGCAGCACCCCACCATCCTGCCAACCCATCCTAAATTGCTCGCATCCCCCAGTACCTCCCGTGCCATCCTTCTGCTGCCATGAGGCAGGAAAAAGCCCCAGCCTGACAGTCAGGAAATACATACCTTAATGCCAAGTGCTTCCAGGCTACGTTCAATGTTCTGCAATAAAAAAGACATTAAAAACAAAGTAGGTTCCCACCACAGAGGCTGTGGATGGTTCTCTGTCCCCCAGGGCTGAGGCTGCTGTCCCAGCACAGCAGGTCAGGGTAGGGACTCACCACTGTAGTGCCAGGGTCTCCACGTGCTCCAGGGCTGCCAGGTCGCCCCTAGGTTTAGAGGAAAAGAGGGAATGGGAAGATGTACAGAGCTGCAGCAAGAGGGGTGAGCAGTGCTCGCCCTTGGTAGGTTTCAGAGTTAACACTTTGCTGCCTGGCAGGGGCTGTGGCTGTGACTGGGGTGCTTATAGCTTGTCAGGCTCTGTGCTGGGTACTCACCGGCTCCCCTCGCAGTCCAGGCTCCCCTGGGTCCCCCTGAAACACAGCAAAGGGATCAAGGGGAGCAGTCAGGCTGCCCAGCACCAGCTGCAGCACCAGGGTCCAGCCCTGTTATCTTGGGGGTGGGGACTCCTGACAGGGGATTATTCCCTCTGGCATGTGGTCCCCCCAGACCTTTGCCTTGGGGGACTGGGGGGCAGGAGCACACTTACCTTTGGTCCAGGCACCCCACGGAGGCCTGGGGAGCCCTAGAAGACATGGAGGTGACACAATAGCACCCGGCCCCCAGGGACACGGGGCAGTGCCCCAAGGCAGCCATGGATGGGGGTCCTGCCTGCCTTAGAGCAATCTGGACTCCAGGGTCTGGTGCTGAGGGGCACCATGGGGTGGAGAGAGAACTACACACCTGGCCAGGGGGGCCAACCTGCCCTGGGACGCCGGGGAGGCCAGGGGGGCCGAGGGGGCCTGGCACACCTCTGTCCCCCTGCTCGCCCTTGGCACCGCTGCGACCCTGCCGAGAGAGCAGCATCACCCCAGGGTCTGTGCCTGAGGGGGGCAGGCACCCAGCACCCCCGTCACACACTCCTCCTTGGGGAGTACTCACCTCTCTCCCAGGCAGTCCTGCATCACCTTTGTCTCCCTAACCAGGAGAGAAAGCAGTTGGAGGGATGCTGCCCCATCCACTGCCCCAGGATGGTGCTCCTGGTCCAAGAAGGGTGGAGCCACCAGGCTTGTGGGGATCACATGGGGACCACACAGGAACCACCCGTGGATCACCTCCTTACCTTTCTCCCATCCTCTCCTGGTGTCCCATCTTCTCCCTGGGAACAAAGGCTGCCTGTCAGTGCCCAGCTCAATTCTCTCAACATGGGTACAAACCCAAGGATGGCTCAGAGCAGGGGGGTTCCTTGCCACATCCTCCCCTTGCCTTATGCTGCACTGGGATCACTATCCCTCAACATCCTGGGAGAGCCCCAGAGTCAAGCCCTGTTTCCCCTACTCACATTCTTGCCATTCAGGCCAGGTTTGCCATCCTCACCGGGTTTGCCCTGGCAGGAAAAGAAAGGCAGTGAGGGAGCCCCCCAGGCTCTCCACCAGCCAGGGGTGCCTGGGCCCCACTGGAGCCTCAAGGTGCATGGCAGGGGGAGCTGGGCACAGGGTGAGCCGTGCCAGATGGACCCAGCTGGGGTCCACAGAGGGCATGGGACAGGATGTGTCCCTAGGGTGCTGGCTGGTACTCACAGGCACGCCAGGTGGGCCCAGGGGACCCACAGGGCCAGGGGGTCCCTGCTCCCCACGCAGCCCAGGCAGCCCCTGCAGGGAAAGGAGATAGTGGGAGCACAGGGCAGCAGGGCACCCGTCTGCCACAGCCAGCCCTGCGAGCAGGGAGGTCACAGGCAGTGGCACTCTGCTGGGGACAGGGGAGAAGCATGGCACAGGTCCCTTGCACGCCTGATGGCCCCAGCAGGACCACAAACCTAAACCTGCCCTCTCCAGAGGTACTTACATCCCGGCCAGGATCTCCCTGCTTTCCCGGGTCCCCCTGCAGACAAGGAGGAGGTGAGGACAGGGACATTGCTACCCTGCCAAAGGCCCCCCCCTCCAGAGCATCCCCAGCCTGGAGCACGGGGTGTCCATGGGGACAGCTCCTCCCAGCCCATCATCCCTCTGTCCCACAGCTCTCACCCAGGCACAGAGCTTCCCCCAGCCTGGCCCACACTCACCCTTAGCCCAGCAGGCCCCGGGGGCCCAGGTTTGCCTTCCAGCCCATTGTGGCCATCCATCCCTGGTGGGCCACGGTCCCCCTGTGGGAGAGCAGGGAAGGGTGGTTGGAGCTCTGGGGTGGGATGGGAGGGCTGTGGGACAACCCTCAGCCCTCAGCCCTCTCACCTTCTCTCCTGGCAGGCCTCGGTCCCCAGGGTCACCCTACAGGGTAGAAGAGAAGTGAGCATCATCTCCCATTACTAGGAGCTGCACAGGGCAGGGTCCCCATTCAGACCCCCATAGGAAAGGGGAAAGGGGACACTCACCCGTGTGCCAGGGGGGCCACGGGGACCCTCCACACCCTGCAAGAAAGAGACACACTCAGCAGTGGGGCATGGGGGGACAGGAGGGATCCTGGCTGCTCAGCAGGCAGTGCCTGCACGCCAGGACCCCTGGCTCTCCTGCAGAACATCAGCCCTGATGCTGCCCCAGTGCCCCCCACAGCAGGCCCCAGCACCTACCCTCTCTCCAGGCACTCCAGGGGCGCCAGCATCACCCCGGGCACCCTTGGCACCGTCCTCGCCCGGGTCCCCAGCGTCCCCCTGCCAGGGAAGGGCACGGTGGTCAGAGACTACTGTGCTGTACCAAACCTGTGCCAGAGTGCACAGTGCTGGTGCTGTGTGGTTTAGGGCTGGGGTGAGAGGAATGGTCTCAAAATAAGAGGCACAGGCTGAAAAAGAGGTGGCTGGGCTCAGTGCAGCTCCTGCTGGGGCAGTGGGGGCCAGGCCATGGCTGCAGAAGGAAGGCACTGAGCAGCACTGCTGAGCCACAGAGCCACAGCTGGGGACCACAGTGCCACCCTGCACAGGGCACAACCTCTGGCCAAAATGGTCCTGAGCCTCAGCTGGGTTGTAAAAGCAGAATGCCCAGAGTGTTGGGTGCTGCCATGGGACCGCTGTGGGGCTGGGCAGCCAGGAGCACACCAGCTCCTTTGGAAACCTCAGGGCTACAGGGCCTCCTCCATCACAGGACATGAGTGTCAGCCCCTATGCCCTGAGTTCCACGTGCCTCTCAGTCGTGGGGCACATCAGCTGCTCGTGGCAGAGGCTGTTTTGGGCAGGGAGGGCTTGATGGATCCCAGTGGGCAGGCAGAGCCCAGAGGACAGCAGGGGGTATCCCACCCCAGCATCCCAAGGACTCAGTCATTACCTTCTCACCCTTTACCCCCACTCCTCCAAGCCCAACATCGACCTGTGGGGCAGAGAGGAGATGTTGATGGGGCTGGGCACCAGCCCATGGGCAGGGAGAAGAGGGAGGCAGAACTTACAGCTCGTCCTGGGGGTCCAGGAAGCCCCTGAAAGAAGGGCAAGGGAAGCAGATTAAGGGGAGCTGGCACAGCCCTGGGGAGGGCACAGCTGGCTCTGGGGTGGGGGGCCACATGTGGCCCTGCCATCACTCACTGGGTCCCCACGGTCACCCTTGCTCCCTGGTGCTCCAGGGCTGCCCTGCAGGAAAGAGGGATGGAGTCAGAGGGGGAGTGGCGTGGGGCAGTGAGCTGTGAGGGGTGGTGGGTGTCCATGGAGCCCTGGGCACATACAAGGGGCTACTCACATTCCTGCCTTCAGGTCCTGGGTCCCCCAAGTCACCCTTCTCCCCGGGGGGACCACGGTAGCCAGGGAGGCCCTGGGTGGGGGGCAAAGGGAAGATGTGCATTAGCAGGAGCCACCCCAAGGCCATGAGGCTCTGTCCCACCCAGGGTGCCCAGCAGCCCTGCACTTACCCGGGGACCCCTGTCTCCAGGCTTGCCAGGCAGGCCTGCTTCTCCCTGTGGGGAAAGAGGGGGTGAGTGGGGGCAGTGGGAAGAGGGGCAGAGGAAACAGGGGCAGTGGGAAGAGGGGCAGTGGTCCTGGGGACCCTCACTCACCGGGGTGCCTTCGTCACCTTTCTCTCCTCGCTCTCCCTGAGGCACAAATCAGTGGGCACCGGCCAGGAGAGAAAAGCACAAGTCACCAGCATCCCCCTGCTCCCTGGCAGCCCCGGTCTGCTCAGGGCCACAGTGCCCCAGAGCCCCGTGTCCCACACTACCTCCTTGCCTCGCAGCCCCGGCTGCCCCGGGGCGCCCGCTCGGCCCGGCTCCCCCTTCTCTCCTGGCTCTCCTGGGTCACCCTAGGCAGGGGAAGGGACAACAGTCAGGCCAGAGGCTGGGCAGCTGGGGAGAGAAGGGGCACAGCCTGCAGGAACAGCCCCTCTAGAGCCGGACAGACAGACAAATGGACAGACAGACAAATGGAAGGGCAGTGACATCACCTTTGGGCCACTCCTGCCTGTGAGGCCAACGACACCCTGGTTGTTGGAGAGGAAGAGCAGGTGTCACTTGGGGAGGGGGCAGCTCGGTGAGCCCCGGCCAGGGGAGGGCCAGGCCCATGGGCTGGGGTCCCCAGGGTGCCCCCAGACTCACCCGATCGCCCTGCTCGCCTTTGGGGCCAGCTGGCCCGGGGATGCTCAGGCCAGGGGGACCCTGGACATGGAAGGACAGAGCATGAAGCAACAGCACAGGCACCATGAGGCTGGGCAGGGCTGTGCCCTGTGCTTCCTATCCTCATGGCAGTACTCACACGGGCACCTTTATCTCCTGTGTCACCCTTGGGGCCAGGAGGTCCTTCTGGTCCTGGGAAACCTCTGTCACCCTGGAGCAGACAAAATCAGCACCCCAACCCACCCATTTTTTCCCCCCACTGCAGCTGTGCACCAGGCTTAGGACCAGGATGAGCCCAATTGTGCAATCCCCTCCCCAGCCATGCCCACAGCCATGCCCACAGCCATGCCCAGAGGGTGGAGGGCACGGCTGGGCCAGGGTTACCTTCTCTCCAACACCAGCCACGCTGGGAGCCTGCAGGGGAAGCAGAGGAGACCATGCTGGGCACTGCCCATGGCTCCCTGTGCTGGGGTTGGGGCAGGCAGAGCTGGAGCTGCTGGGCAGCATCACTTACTGGCCTGCCAGGTGGTCCTGGGTCACCCTGCAGAGAGACAGGTGTCACTGCCAGCCCCTTCCCCAACAGACCCCTGCCACCCCACTGGGACCCCCCTTTGCCCTCACCTTCTCCCCCCGGGGGCCAGTCGGTCCTGGAGCTCCCTGTGGTGAGATTGGAGACCTCAGGGGGCTGGCAGTGCCTGGGAACCACCCAGGGTATGGCAGCTCCCGGCTCCACAGCAGCACAGCCACCACCCTGACTCACCTCTCTGCCTGATGGCCCCGGGTGCCCGGGGGCTCCCACCTCACCCTGCAGGAGAGGAGGAAGAGGAAGGTGTGGGGGCATCCTGCCACCCCCTGCCAGCGTGGCTGCTCCAGGGCAGAGTGGGCATCACTCCACCATGCCCCAGGTGCTCCTACCTTCTCACCCTGTGGGCCTGGCACACCACGGTCTCCCTGCAGAGCAAAGAGAGGAGGGTTCAGGGAGCCTTCCTCCCTCTACATCACACTGCCCCCACCCCACACACTGCCCCAGAGCTCTTCACAAGTCAGCCCTGGATCCCACCCAAGACCCCTGGGTTGTGACAGCCATGCCCAGGCACTGCCACCAGCAGGTCCCAGGGACACCAGGACCCTGCCTGGGCACTCTCTCACCTTCTCGCCCGTCTCTCCCAGCTCGCCCGGCACCCCACGGTCCCCCTGGTATAGGAGGAACAAAGGGTCAGACACAGCAGGACCTTTGGGGACATCCTGGGTCCTGGCACAGAACCAGAACCCCCTTCTCTCTGCCAAGGCATGGCAGGAGCATCCCTGGGTCCCTGCACCACTCACCTTCCTGCCCTGCTCCCCCGGCGGTCCCCGAGGGCCCTGCAGAGGAGGATGGAGACGTTGTCACCTTTGGTGTGACAAGGCAAACACCCAGGCTGCCCAAAGCAGGAGGGCTCAGCGTGCCCTCAGGCTTGGCTCCTGGCATGGCCAGCTCCTGCCTGCCTTTCCTTCTCTCAGGACACTCACCCTGTCTCCTGGGTCTCCGGGGCGGCCAGGTGGCCCTGGGAAACCTTCTGTGCCATCACCCTGGGGATTTGGAAAGGTGAGAGCCATGCTCGTGACACGGGGATGCCCATTAGATGGGAATCCTCACTGGAGAGTAGTGTGAGGTCCAGCCCCAGTGGGGAGCATCCCTGCCACCTTCTTACCTTCTCTCCCTTCAGCCCAGGGGGCCCAGCAGGTCCCCGAGGCCCAGGGTCCCCAGGGAGGCCCTGCAAGACAGAAAATCTCAGCCCCTGTGGATGTGACTCAGCCCTGGGCACACACAGCCTGTGCAGCCCTGATCCCCTCTGCCAGCCCTGGTGGCCTGGGGGCTCAACTCACTGGGGGTCCAGGGTCCCCTCGAGGTACTGCCCCATCTACGAATCCAGGGGGGCCCTGCAGAGAGAAGGGTCAGCTCCTGTGTGGCTGCCCTGAGGGCTCAGTCCTCCCCAGCACCCTGAGGGGCTGCAGTGCCCTTGGACACTCAAGGGGCCTCCATTCAGTAGGGTAGAGGAGTCAGGGTAATGCACAGCCACTCACCCTTTCCCCTCGATCACCCTTCTCTCCCTGCAAAGGTGAAAAAAGCAAATCAGGGCAGTTCTGGGCTGTTCCCATGCCCTCCTTGAATACAAGAGGAACATGCTGGGTAGAGCCATCATCAGTGGCATCAGGGTATGTGCATGCCAAGTGCCTCTCCCCACACTGCACCCCATGAGCATCTTGTGCAGGCACAGCCCACAAGCAGGCCCAGGAGGAGCCCACAGGGGAACAGCTCCAAGCAGCTGCCTGTTCCCCATCCCTCTGCCCACACATCCCCAGCCTTCCCCATGCAGCATCGGGGGATTTACCTTCACAAACTCTCCAGGAGGTCCTGGTAGCCCCATGGGTCCGAGTGGACCAGGGGGGCCTGGGTCACCAAGAGGCCCCCGTGGGCCAGGGATCCCAGGTGGGCCGGGGCTGCCCTGCAGGACAGAGGGGCTCCATCAGCTGGGGCTGAGGTGTGGGCTGGGGGTGCTGGCAGAGACCCCTTCACACCTGTATGCCCACACCTACCGGCACACCTGGCTCCCCTCTCTGGCCTGGCAGCCCCTGCTCTCCATCCGTGAACACCCTGGGCTCTCCCTGCATGAGGAGGGGAGGAAAAATCAGTGACCACGTGTGCCACATGTGCCCTGCTGTGGCCACAGTGCCAGGAATCTGGCAGGGAGATGGGGAGGCCCTGGGGCCAGGAGATGCCAGGCACCAAGCTGTGCCCACCAGGGTCCCCAGAGCTCCCCAGGGACCCCTGTGGGGCAGCCCCCTGCCCATCACCTACCGGGTCACCTTTCTCCCCCTTTGGCCCAGGGAGTCCCATGGGCCCACGTGTCCCCTGGGAAGGAAAGATGAGGATGAGAGGGGGTGCTGGGTGTGAGAAGGGTTGGGGATGGTTGGGGCCATACTCACAGGATCCCCTCGAGGACCAGGGATGCCCTGGATGCCCTAGAAAACAACAGCTGAGGAGGTGAACACATCCCTGCCAGCCAGGGGAGTGAGGATGGGATGAGATGGAATGGGGGGGCTTGGCACAGCATGGCATGGCATGGCATGGCATGGCATGGCATGGCATGGCATGGCATGGCATGGCATGGCATGGCATGGCGTGGCGTGGCATGGCGTGGCGTGGCATGGCGTGGCGTGGCATGGCATCTCCAGCCAAAGTAAGGCTAGACAGTACACTTTGCCGGGGATACACACACAGGAGACAGCAGTGCCCCTGCCAGCTGCTGAGACTCCCCAGCACAGGGAACAGGGAAGCAGAGGCTGGCTCAGGGAGCAGGCAGGGTGATGGAGAGCCCATTGTGCAGCAGCAAAGCCAGGGGACACCCTTACTCACTGGCTGCCCAGGTGATCCAGGATTCCCAGGGCGTCCAGGGCTTCCTGGTGCCCCATCAGCTCCAGGAAATCCCTGCAGGACAGAGGAGCATCATGGCAGCATCTGGTGTACCCCAGCACTGCCAGACTCCTTCAGTGCTGCAGGCAGTGCTGGCCCCAGCCCTGGGAGCTCAGGGCAGCCCCAAGGCAGAGCTGGGTTCCGGGGTGCCTTTCCCCATGTGCTGAGCTGGGGTGTGAGGCTGCAGTGTGGGGCTGGCCTGGGGTTCTTCTGCGGGATTTCCCCTCCAGCGCAGGTGTGGAGACCAAAAGGACAAGGGGCAGTGAGAGGCCCCATGGAGCCAAGTCACTGTGTCCAGGGATCCTGGGGTGCCTAGGTGAGGGGCCAGAGGTACTCACCCTGTCCCCCTTCTTGCCTGGACCCTCAGCACTCTCTCCTGGTGGACCCCGTGGTCCTGGTGGTCCTGGAGAGCCGGGAAGCCCGTGGCGACCCTGGAGACACAGGGGAGAGGACAGGCTGAGTGGCAGGTGGTGGTCAAGAGGTGTTGCCTGTCCACCCCTGTAGCAAGGGCTGGACAGGTCCTTGCCCCACACCCACCCACTGGCAGGACAAAGGGACAAGGGAATGTGAGGACATGGGGACCATGGCACTGCCCTCTCCAGGGAGCTGCCCCTCTTATGCTCCCCTCCATCAGGTTATTACCGGCTGCCCAGGGAGACCTGGTGGTCCCATACGTCCTTGCAGTCCCTGCAGAGACAAAGCCAGTAGTGAGCATCCCCTGTGAACTGATGTTAGCCTGGTTTGGGAGATGCAAACCTCCCAAAGCCACCAGCTGGTGGCGGGGTGTCCCCAAAGCACTCACTGCCTCACCGCGCTCTCCCTTCTCGCCCTGCAAGGGACAGAGGGAAGGGGTTAGGGGCTGGCACTCTTGTGCTTAACTCCCCACTGGGCTTCTGCTGTCAGCAGCTAGGGGTCTCTGACCCATGCTGAGCACCTGTGGCACAGCATGGCACAGCCTTGAGAAGCTCACCTTGGGGCACTCCATAGTGCAGGGCTTTGGCTTTGGCTCCGGCTGGCAAGAAAAGATAAGCCTGTGTGAACCCAGGGATCAGAGCTTACATGGGCTGCTCCCCTTCCACATCCCTGAGGTGTTCTGGCCCTTACCCTGGTGGAGATGATGGTGCAGAGGTCATCGGTGAGCTCTCCCTCCAGCTCTGCCAGGTCACTGCCATGGTAGATGTACCGTGGGTCCTCACTGGTGACCATGCGCCGGAGCTGCTCCCGGTCTGCCCCCTCCATGCTCACTGCCAGCACCTGGACCCCTGAGCAGAGAGCACCCTCAGCACCCCACAGAAGTCCCTGCACACCCTGATGAGACCCTATTAATCCTCACCCCCAGCCTTGACATCCCTGGCCACTGTGATGGCATCATCCCCCGAGGGGCTGTCAGCCAGAACCACCAGCACTGCTGGCACCCCGGGACGGCGCCCTGCACCAGGACTCAGCAGGTACGTCCTGGCAAAGGTCATGGCTGCCCCTAGACAGAGAGAAGGAAGAAGGGACAGTCAGCAGGATCGCAGAAACACTGCCCCAGCTCCTAGAGCCGCCCCTCACCGATGTTGTTGCCGCTGGGCTCCTCGTAGCGCATGGCACGGATCTGCTCCAGCACGGTGGGCAGGTCACTGGAGCGGTTGAGGAGCAGCCAGGGTAGGCTGCGGTAGCTGTACGTGGCCAGGGCCACCTGCAAGGGTGCAGGGCAGCAGTGGGCACCATGGCCCACCCACGAGCCCCCCGTGCCCCCACTGCTGTGGCAGCAGCCTACCTGTGTGCCCTCAGGGCCCAGGCGCCCCAGGGCTGACACGGTGTTGGAGAGGAGGGTGCGCACAGCGCTGGCTCCAGAGGAGCTGTTGCGGGTGCCATGTACCAGAAAGACCACGTCACCGAGGGCATCCCTGCAGACTGCAGGATGGGAAGGGGTGAAGCCACCACCAGAGTGGGGACAAGCCCAGCCCACCCTGCAGGGAGCCCCCAGTACCTGTGCGCTCACTGACGGACGCCTCGGCACCCGGAGTGCTCCCCAGGAGCGGCCGCAGGGTGAAGGTGTAGCGCTGGCCCAGGCGCAGCCCGGGGACCTGCTGGGAGCTGGCAGTGCTGGGCAGCGTCCGCCCCCTGTCCCCACCAGCTGCCGCCCACGGGACAGTCAGAGGGATCAGCAGGCCCCTGCGGGGATGCCGCCCACCATCCTGGGGCCACCCACTCGTCTCACCTGCAGGAGGGCTCCAGGAGAGGACATAGCCAGAGGCACCGGGGACTGGGGTCCAGGTGAGAGTCACAGAGTCCCTCTGCACCTCCGTCACCCGCAGGCTGGTGATGTGGCTCGGGGCAGCTACCAAGGGGGAGGAAAGGGTGTCCCAGCTTCATGGGGCAGCCAACGTTCTCCCTCCCCAGCCCAATGCTGAGACAGTCAGTCCCTGGGTGCCCCTCTGGGCTCAAGCCATGTGTCGGGGGCTCATGCTGCCTTGGCCCCAGGCAGTCAGTCCCTTACTGGTGATGGCAGTGATGGTGGCTGGCTCGCTCTCCCGGCTGCCAGCCAGGCTGGTGATGCTGATGTGGTAGTGCCGGCCCGGTTCCAGTCCCGACAGGGTATAAGAGCTGGAGGTGGCTGGGAGCTGCTGGCTGTGCTGGGGCCCCCCTGGCAGGGGCAGAGAGGGGTGAGGGGGTGCGGGTGGGAGCTGGCAGGGATGCAGGGGCTCCAGCCAGCTATGCTTACCTTCAGCCAGGCGCCAGAACAGGCGGTACCCAGTGCTGCCAGCCACTGGCAGCCAGGTCAGGCGCAGGCGGTGCTCCGAGGCCTCGGTCACCTGGAAGCCGCTGACAGGGCGTGGGGGGGCTGCCTCCGCTGCGGGGCAGAGGGGCAGGCGTCAGAGGCAGGAGTGCCCAGTGCCACCCTGGGGTGATGCCCCCTGCCCCAGCACTCACGGGTGGTGACGACAATGGAGACGGGGTTGCCTTCCCGGTTTCCAATGAGTGCCGTCACCTTCACGGTGTAGGAGACGCCTCCCTCCAGGTTGGGGATGTCAAAGGAGTTGGTGTGGCCAGGAACTCGCCGGCTATTCTCCGAACCCCCTGCCAAGGACTGTGGCATGAGGCCCCCACCCTGCTGCCCTCACAGCCCACCCCCATCCCCACCCCACAGTACCGTCCCTGCGGCTCCACACCACACGGTAGGCAGTGGCTCCCGGCACACCGACCCAAGTGACACGGGCAACATTGCTCCTGGATGCCTGCACCTCCAGCTGGGTCACCTTCCCCACCTGCTCTGGCACTGTGACACCAAGAGGGCCACTGTCATCCTGGGTCACAGCCAATGGCACCAGACAGCTCTGTCAGGCAGGGGTTACCTCACCTATCCGTCCTGTGGCAGTGACGGGGCTGCCCTCACGGCCATCCACAATGGCTGAGACACTGACGGTGTAGACAATGTTGGCGTGCAGCCCATCGATGGTGAAGGTGGTGGGGTCAGCAGGGAGGAAGCGGGATTTCTTCAGACCTAAGAGATGGCTGGGATAGGAAGGGCTCCAGCAGAGCTGCCACAGCACCCCATGGTCCATACACTCACCGTCACTGCCTTGCCACGTCAGCAGGTAGCCCCCAGCACCTGGCAGCCCTCGCCAGGTGACCCGCAGCTGGCTGGGACCGGCCTCCATCACCCGCAGATCCGAAATGCTGCCCACCTCTGGATACTCTGCACCACCCCATAACACCACAGCATCACCCTGGGTAGTCCGAAGGGACCCCACAGCCAAGCTGCCATCCCAAGGGGTTGCAGGGGGATAGAGACAGCTGCCGGCCAGTGGGAACATGCAGTACCAGAACTCCTGGCACCAAATCCTGACGTGGACTTACTGAGGCGGACGGTGAGCGTGGCAGCACTGCCCTCCTGGCCGCCTGCCAGTGCTGAGACACGCACCAGGTAGGGGACACCCTCCCGGAGGTCACCGAGCTCCAGCCCCGTCTGGCTGCCGGGGATGCGCCTCATCCTCTCCGTGCCATCTGCCAGGAGGAGGGCAGTGCGGTGGCTCAGTGTCAGCTGGTCAGGATCCCCCGGGTGCCACCCTGACCCTGCCCACAGACTCACCCTGGCTGTTGCGCAGCACCACTTTGTACTCGGTGGCACCGGGGACAGCGGTCCAGCTCAGCCGTACCCGCCTGCCCGATTCCTCAATGAGCCGCAGGTCTGACACAGCACCCACGGGTGCCTCCACGCCTGTGAGGGCACATGTGAGGCACAGCTGGAGTGGCACAGCCTGGACAGCACAACCTCCATACTCAGCACAACCCCCATACTCATCCTGGGCTGTGACCAGACAGCTGGGGGTTGTCATGGCCAAGGCAGTCCTCAACCTGAGCAATGCCCATTGGGACATCCCACATCCCTCCATGCCAAAGGCTTGGAATGCTGGGGAACAGCTCAGGGGACCCACAGCAGCACTGACCTGTCTGAAAGGTGGTGACAGGGGTGGCCACCTCCCCACCATCATAGAGTGTGTAGAGGGTGATGCGGTACTCGGTGCCCGGCTTCAGCCCCGTCAGCTGGTAAGTATTGGTGCTGCTGGGGAGAGACACTGTTCTGGGGGGCTCTGGTCCTGCAGGAAGGGAAGGATCACAGCCAGCTGCTGGCATGGAGGGCCCACAGGGGCAACAGGCACCTCGAGCCTACCTGTGGCTCTCTTCCACTCCAGACGGTAGCCACGAGCATCACGGGCACTGGTCCAGAGCACTTGGATGGATGTGGGGCCCAGGATGTTGGTCTGCAGTGTCTGGTCTGTACCTGCCTCTGCAAGAGGGACCCCATGGGCCAGGATACCTTGTGCCACCCTGCTGCAGCCACCCAGCCCATGTCCCTGGTCCCCACACATGGCAAGGACAGGGGCTGCAAGGGCTGGTCCCTCCTCCCTCCCATGCACAGCAGCAGGATGGCATCACCTGTACCCAACACCTACCTGTCCTCTGCCGCACAGTGGCTGCGGGCCCCTCCAGCTGCCTGAAGAGTGGGGCCACCGTCACCACATAGTCAGTGTTGGGCTGCAGCCCCACCAAGGCATGTGACATCTGCCCGGCGTCCAGGTCCACCCTGTGCCTGTCCTGCCCTGTGGGAGCCAGTGCAGCAGTCCCTTGGGGAGGTCAGGCAGAAGGTGCCACCAGCTCCCTCCTGTCCCTCCTCAGGGGCCACCAGCAGAAGGGGCATAAGCTTTGGGAGAAGCACCTACCTGTGCGGGTTGCCCAGGAGAGGCGGTAGCCGGTGGCGCCACTGACAGGCTGCCAGGCCAGCAGCATGCTCTGTGCTGACACGTTGTGCACTGTCAAGTGCTGCACGCCCACCAGGTGCCCTGTGGGAGTGAGGTGACTGTCCATCTCCCCCATGAGAATGGGGCAGGGGCAGCAGGAAGCACCTTCACCTGCAAACCGCTGTCTCCAGGAAGCCCCCTTGCCCCTGCTCACCAGTGCTAACCACACTGAGGTCACTGAGCGCAGCCCGCGCTCAGGCGGCTCCTTCAAAGCATCAAACTGTGGAAAATGGAGCTCAAATGTCTTCCTCTTAATGCCTTAAATACTTTCTGTGGGTTAAGACTGCCTGGGGCAGCTGAAGGAATTGGTTTGCCAAAATCAGATGCTTGCAAAGGTGCTGCCCTGGAGCCTCACCCCCACTCCTACCCGGAGATGCTTTCCAACAGCCTCTGCCCTGGTGGAAACCACACTTTCCTCCCACAGAGCACTGTACTTAAACCCTGCATTTTTTCAGTCAACATTTTTTACGTCATGGGAGGAAAGCTCTGGTGGAAACACTCCCAGAAGGCTGCAAAGGAAATTGGGAGCACACAGTGCTGCATCCTACCCTGGGAGCAACTTTTGGGGCCCAGAGCATCGCCTTGTAGCCATGCTCACCTGCATCCCCATCCCACCCCCACAGGCAGCCATGGGCCAGGCAGCCCCATCCCAATGGGGCACAGTGATTGGAGGGGGGCAGCCCTGTGCTGGGAACCCATTCCTAACCCTGGCTGGGCCCAGGGCTGGGCTCAGCACTTACGTGTGCGGGCAGTGAGGGTGGCAGGGGCAGCAGGCTGCTGTGCATAGTGGGGCTGGAGCATCACCAGGTACTCAGTATTGGGCTGCAGGTTGCTGAGTGTGGCTGACTGTGCGCTGGCTGTCAGGCTCTTCTCCTCTCTTTGAGGTGCTCCTGGAGGGGTGTGAGGGGCACAGGGACATAACACACACCAGGCCCAGCAGGGAAGGGGTGTCTGTAGGCCTGCACCCTGCCCTGAGGATGCCAGCCAGTGCCAGGGGTGGGGAGCACTGGGAAGAGACTGGGACGTGGGCCAGGGCAGGGGCATCCCCTGGAACGCCCCAGGCCAGGGTGAGGCTGCCAGGTGTGTGGCTCCAGCCCCGTCCCTGGCTGGAACGGGGGTCTGCTGCCTGCCCCCCATGTGCAGCAGCCATGGGGGCACATGCCAGGGCCCCAGCCATTGTGCACGCCCAAGCACACACCCTGAACCTTGCACATGAAGCCTCGGGGTGTAGGAATACACAGGCTGCCTCCACAGCTCTGCACACCACGCACCCCACGCCCAGCGCACGCGTGCCGGCTGCCGTGTGAGGGTGGGTGGATACACACCCACTGCACTCCGGGCATGTATCCCTGCATTCACACTCATCCCTGCTTCCCTCTGCCCAGGGGGTGCACAAAGGCAGGGTGCCCAGGCAGCACTGACCCTCCTCAGGCCCATGCCCTCACCTTGCACAGCATAGCTGAGGCTGTAGCCCTGGGGAGGCTCGGGGCCAGGCTGCCAGGCCAGCCTCAGAAAGGTTGGTCCAGCCTCCACCACGCGAAAATCCAGCACGGAGCCAGCACGGCTTTCTGGAGGCACACAGAAGCAGGGATGAGTCCCCAGCCCCATGCCTGCACCCACCCATCCCTATGGACATGGACACTCACGGGTCCGTGCTCGGCCGGACACGGACTCGCCGATGCTGTTGGCGTACTGGGCGGTGACAGTGACCAGGTACTCTGTCCCAACGCGCAGTCCCCGCAGCACAGCATTTGTCTCCCGTGGCCCCACGCTCACCTGGGCAGGAACAATGTCACCCCCCCATCTTCCCCAGGTCACACATGGAGCCACCAGGAACCCCAGGAGCTCTGAGCAGTCAGGTGGGAGTACTCACCTCCTGCCTCTCTGCCAGGATGGGCTGCCCTAGCCCTGTCAGTGGCACGTACTGCACCCGGTAGCCAGTGATGGGGCCACTGGCTGCCCTCCAGCGGACCCGCAGATGATCCAGGCCCCGCTCTGGGATCTCCAGGTTGGAGGGGCCAGTGTGGCTTGGCCCATCTGTGGAGTAGCACAGGGGCTGTTGGCTGCACATGCATGAAGCAGAGAGATCTTGCTGTGGCAGCACACATGTGCCCGATGGGATGGGATAGCCGGGAGGTCATTTTGGTGGTGGGACGGATGCTAAGGGTGCACAGTCTGGCACCCAGCACTGTCAGCACCTGTGCCCCTCAGGGAGGAGGATGGGGGCTCATACCCAGCAGGCGCAGGGTGCCCCCAACAGTGGTGCACACCCTCCGTGTTATCAGTGGCACCAGCGTGTCCAGCAGCTTGAAATCACCAACGTAGAAGAAGAAGGCATCAGTAGGCATCGAGGCCACACGGATCAGCTCCTTGCGGTCAGCATTCTTAATACCTGGGACACAGGGAGATGATGGGTGAGGGGGGAACCTGAACCAAGCAGAAGACTCTTTCATGTGCTGCAGAAGCCTCACTCACCCACAGCAAAGACCTTGATACCCTGGCTCTTCAGCTTCGCTGCCGGCCCCTCAGCATCATCCTGGGACTTGCCATCCGTGATGAGAATGCAGATCTGCAGGGCCAGGAAAGAACTGTGGGATCCAGCTTGGGGTCCATGGGCCTGACACTTCTCCCCATGTTGCCAGGGTCACTGCTCTGCACACATACCTGGGGGACCCCAGGCCGGCGCTGCGTGGGGCTGAAGAAGTTGTCAGCAATGTAGCGGAAGCCAGCGCCCGTGCGAGTATTGCCACCCTTGTAGCTCAGCTGCTGGATGGCCCTCCGGACACTTGTGCCATCAGTGTGCTGGGAGAACGAGAACTCCACCCTGGAGAGCGCAGGGGCACACTGTCACTGTCACCCAGCCCTGCCACCCTGCATCCCACATGCCCCTTCCCTTGGGCTCACCGTGGGTCATCACTGTACTGTGCCATGGCAAAGCGCACTGCCTTCTCACCCACCACCTGCACAAAGGGCCCCACCAGCTCCTCCATGAAGGTGCGGACAGCACGGAAGTTGTTCCTTCCGATGCTGGATGAGCCATCCACCAGGAAGGCGATGTCAGCCTCCAGCACATCCTCACACACTGCTGCGGAGCAGTGACAGCACTCAGGGCACAGACTGGCGCTGTGGCACATTGGTGCTGAAGCCCTCTTATTGTGCCACCCACCGTGTGGACCCAGTGCTCATCACTTACCTTGGCTCCTCTTCTGTGCCGTGGCAGCTGGAGGACGCAGGAGCGCCGGGAGCACAGCCAGGAGCAGGAGTTGGCTGCTCATCGTGGGAGCCTGCAGGACAGGATGCTGCCACCACAGTCTCACAGCAGCCTCAAGCCTTGGGGACAGCAGTTCGGGAGGTTCCCAGCACCACCCGTGCCAGAACGCCTGGCAGCGCTGGGAGGGCAGGGTGCCAGTGCCGCCCCAGGCACCGCACGGCGCGGGGAGAGCCCCGCTCCGGGCCGGGACAGGCGGCAGGAGCTGGCCCGTGAGCAGCCGGTGGGGCTGTCCGCGGTGCGGGGGATACAGAGATCCCCAGCCCGGCTACAGCCCGGGATCTGCCCCCGCCGCCCCTTCCCCTGCCCCACGGCACGGGCAGCAGCGGCGCGCTTGGCCCCCGCCCGCAGGGCTCCTCCGCCCCAGGAAGGTGCTCCAGGGCAGCGGGAGCCAGCGCGGGCAGCCCTGCCCGCCAGCCCCTGCCCCGCCGCACGGAGGGCACCTGGCCCGGTACCCCCGCGATGTCCTAGCCCCAGCTGAGCCCGGCCCGGGCGGTGCCAGCCCCGCCGCACGGACGGCACCTGGCCCGGTACCCCCGCGATGGCTCCGCCGGGTCCCAGCCCCAGCTGAGCCCAGCCCGGGCGGTGCCAGCCCCGCCGCGGAGCGCGGCCGAGTGCCCGCGGTGCCCCCGCGGAGGCTCCGACCTGCCCCGCAGTGCCCCCCGCCCCGGCTCCAGGCTCACCCGCCGCCCCCGCGGGGCCGCTCCGTCCCGCACCGCTCCGAGCCGTTCCGTGCCGAGCCGTGCCGGGCGCAGGCGGTGCCGGCGCGCACCGGCCCCCGGCGCTCCCGCCCCTTTATGGAGGGCGGCCCGGAGCACGGGCCGGGGGGAGCGGAGCGGCGCGGCCCCCGCCCAGCCCGGCCTCCCAAAGGGCTTTTCCCACCGCTCCCCTGAGAGGGAAGGAAGGAAGGAAAGCAGCTCCTGAGGCTCTTCCCGCTCCAGGGCCACCCGGGCTGCCCCGCGGCTGCACGGCGTGCAGCGGCTGCACGGCACGGGGATGGAGAGGGCTGGACACCCGGGAACGGCTGCTGCTGGATTTGCCACCGAGACCTCCATGAGGGGCTGAGTGGGCCCCAGTAAGGCTCAAGGCAGTTTTCCCTCCAGCATCTGCATCTTTCAGGAAGGTGAGCAGCTCTGGAACATGCCATCCAGGAGCTGGCCACCCACTTCCATCCATCCATCCATCCATCCATCCATCCATCCATCCGTCCGTCCGTCCGTCCGTCCGTCCATCCGTCCATCCATCCATCCAAGGGGAATGTGTCATGGAGACTTGGGGCCTGGATCCAGGCAGACCTGGATGGAGCTGCCACAGGGACTTGAGCGCCTGGCACCATCTGGGTTAAAGCCTGGCTCTGAGCACTAGCCCTGGGAAGGGCACTGGTGGTGAAGGGCTGCTCCCCATGCCAGCACAGCTCCCACCAGGCTGCAGGACAGCCAGGCCCCGTCCAGGATCCTTCCTGCACACAGGGCTGGGGTACCCAGCATGTGGAGCCCTGGCACGCATGGTTCTAGTACAGGGACTGCACTGGAGTCAGCTGTGGGAACATCATCCTGCCCTTCTCAAACTCCATCTCACAGCAGGCTTGTGGCTGAGACCTACCCCAGAGCTGGAGAAACTTGCTGGAAAGCCACTGGTGATGTGGCTGCAGTTGCTGGGAGGAGGCGAAAGGGTGAAGATGCCCAGCAAGGCAGGTGGGGAGCTCGTGTTGCCCTGGTCTCACTTCCTGCCCATCCTGTGGCTGGTGGAACAGTCCCTTGAGGCTCCTCCTCAGCCCAGGGTGCAGCCTTGACCCTCAGGGTGCTCCTCACCCTGGGCCACCTGTGGGACTACACCACTCCTTGGGGCACATCACACAGCACCTCATCACCTCATCCTCCCCACTGGTGCCTGTGCTCACCTGGGGTTGATCCTGGCTCAAGGAACCTGCTATGCACCCCATGCCACCTGTCCTCTGTCCCCTTGGTCAGCCCTCATTCCCCGTCCCCAGCACCCCACGTACCTGTGCCCTCCTGGCCACTGCCCCAGGGTCTCCCCTCCGGCTCCTGGCAGGGCAATGCACAGACAGGTCCAGAGGCATCTTCCTGTGGGCAGCAAGAGGAGCAACAGTGGGGATCTCTGGGGCCCAGGGCCACCTCACAGCTGGGGGCCGGGGGCAGGGCCACCGGCCACCGAGCAAAGATGCTCCAGGGTCGGCTGCAGGCAACTTTCCCAGGCACAAGCTGTTCCCAGGCAGGGGAGGAGCGGCGATGCCCTCGCTCTTCTTAAAGGTACAGCAAGCAGTGCATCCCCTCCTCTTCATTAGCCTTCCTCTCCTTAGACCTCAGCCCTGGCCCCCAGGGCTGGCGGGCGGGTTCCGGAGCTCGCCGTGCCCACAGCTTTGCCCCTGCCAGCCCCAGCCCTGCGGCTCCGGCCGTCAGTCCAGCATCCTCAGGTCAGGACCATCCCTAGACCCTCCTCCCGCCAGAGCCCGTTTAATGAAGACAGGGCGGCCTGTCCCAATTAGACCAGGGGCTCGGTTAGACAGGGAGCGGAGGGGCCTGCCAAGGGCTCTGTGGCTGGCCCCGGGCCCGGAGCTGTGGAGCCGCCCCACGGCGCGGTGCCGGCGGCGGGGCACGGGCGGCCGGGGGTCACCGCGGCCAGCGGGGCAGCGCCGGGGCGGGCAGCGCCCAGCGGGCACCCGGGCAGCGACACCGGGGCAGCGACACTCCACAGCCGTGCCAGGGGCTCTGCGCACCACCTCGGCCCCCAGGACTGCGGCAGGCACTGCTTTGGGGTGCTCCCCAAACCCCAGTCGCCCACGGCAGCATCTTGACCATCTTGCCAGTAGCATTGCCCTTACATGTGCACTGGAGCGGGGCACGCAGGGCTGCTGGGTCCCCAGAACCGGAGTGTCTCCGCCTCCGCGGTGTTTCCCAGCTTCCCTCCGCATACCAGGAGCAGGGAAGGAATCTGCGGCCGCCGGCGCGGGACGGTCCTGCCTGTGCAGATGGAGAGCGCCAGGTGTGAGTGACTCACGGGCACCCCCGCGCCGCTGCACGCCAACCCCTCCGGGGACATCCTCAAAGGCTGAAAAGCCTTCTCAAAGCCTGGACGGCTGGCAGCCCAGCCACTAGTCATTCCCACAGCCCAGACCTGGGCTTCCCCATCTCCCAGCTGGCTCGGCCCCAGAGCGTACTGATTCCTCTACACAGACAACATTTGTAGGGCTGACCCTGACCCCAGCTCCTCACCTGTGCAGGCCTACCCAGTTCCCAAATGACACTCAACAGCTGGCCACATCATGAGACATTCCAGGACACCTCCACGGGTCCCAACAGCCCTGATCTTTGCAGGGCACTGCCCAGGCAAGCACTACGCCTGAGCCTCACAGGGGTCATATTACCCCTGGGAAGGGAACCCCTTGGTTTGAGAGTGTGCACAAGGGGAGGACAGGAGCTGAGCTTTTCTTTGCCCCTGCTTGCCAGGCATGAGGCCTCACTGCTGCCTTAGTGGGAAACAAGAAAAAAATCTTCAGCCCCAGGTGAGGTTTCAGCTCTCTGGGACGGGATGAGTCACACACCATGGTGGGGTACAGAGCCTGCTGCACAGTCCCACACCATGGTGGGGTACAGAGCCTGCTGCACAGTCCCACACCATGGTGGGGTACAGAGCCTGCTGCACAGTCACACACCATGGTGGGGTACAGAGCCTGCTGCACAGTCACACACCATGGTGGGGTACAGAGCCTGCTGCACTTGTGGTGCTCTGGGGATTGCTGCCCCCATCCCCTGCCCACCCTCTCCATGCTGCAGCCACTGCCTCTGGTGCTGATCTGCCATGGGCCAGGATTCAGCACAACCCTTACAGGATTTCAGTTTTCTGGCCCTGCTGTGTTCCTGCAGTGCTCCTCACTCCAGCAGATATCAGCATTCCCAGCCAGTGGAGATGCATGGCACAGCTCTGGGGCTGCTGGGAGGGAGAAGCCACCTCTTCCAGCACTTTCACACTGGGGAGGGGAGCAGCAGGAGGCCAGTGCTGAGGCAGGGGAGGAGTGGAGGAGCTGGCCAGAGCCTGGAGGGGGAACCTTGTCTGCCACAGAGGCCAGTTAAGACATGCTCCAGGAATGTCTTCCAGCACCAGCCACCGCCAGCTCCATGATGTGGCACCCAGCCACGCAGCCCAGCATCCCAGAAAAGGGGCCCATGACCCCTGGCTATCACCAGTCAGCTCAGGGAGAGCCCAGAGGGACAGGCTGCAGCCTTAGGGAATGCTTGTGTCACCCCACAAGACAACCCAGCAACCCAAGAGACCACAAAATAGACCAGGGTGGGAAATAGTCAGCCCTTACCTCCTGCTGACCTACCCTGATGGGTCTGGGATGGGAAAAAGCCATGCCAGCCCTCCAGGCTGCACTTCACAAGGGAAACACATAGAAGCCTCCCCAGGTCCTCTGTGCCAGAGCACCCTCCATCCTGCTGCTGCCCAAGGCCACATCCCTGTGGAAAAGGGGATCAAGGTATGATATCAGGATGAAGCCACGACCAACGAGCTTCCCTCTCTGCCCAGCAGCTCTTGAGATGTCCAAAGTGAAGGGGATGCCCCATTTTTGGGGGACCTTACCTACTGTGGAGGCAGCAGCAGTCTGGTGACAGAATGATGATGGAGGTAAGTGATCCCACTGTAGCCAAGCTTGGGGTCAGGCTGAGCCTGCTGTGCCCCCCCACCAGGGCTCCCCATGGGGTGGGTGCATGTCCTGGCTCTCCCACAACTGCTGTGGAGGGATGGAAAGTTTTTCCTGTCTGTAAACTGTTGTGTCTGGAGGCTGCTGCCAGCACAGCTGCACATCAGCATCGCACGAACCTGTGCTGCACTGTGGCCCCACTGGCCGTGCAAAACGGGCTCAGGAGGGAATGGTGACACCACGAGGATGTGACCCTCCCCTTGGCCAAGCAGTGCAGGAGAAGGCAGCCCTGGTCAGCCTGACCACAGAGGCCAGGCTGCTTCTCAGGGACAGCAAGTGAGGGG